GCCATTCCGGCATGCGCAGCGCGACGACGCGCGCGCGTGCGTTTTTTTTGGTTGTTGTTTTGTTTTTGTTTCCGCCAGCGTTTCTTGCGACAACACGGGGGCACATGGGTTTCGAACGATTCCGACATGCGCGCGTGAGAGGCTGGCTTAGTAACATTTTAAGAACATGTTGAGCGGCCGATGGTTATCTTCAGAGCTTGCAGGAACGCGAACGCCAATGTTTTTGTTTCCTTGCTGTCTACATTTTGTGAAACCATGGGTTTGAGATGCGTTCGTGCCACTCGATTTTTCATTCCGTGCGAAACTTCAGGTTTTTGGAGGACTTCAACATGCGCGCGCGACGACGCGCGCGTGCGCACTTCGTTTCATTTCTTGCAAGGGACTCTGTGCAGCGGATGATTTTGGATAGACGTCTGTGCGCGCTTGTTTTTTGTAGAGGATTACGGGGGGTACTGATATCGGACTGTCTGGGATGGTACGCAATCATACCTGAGACAGGCGATGTGGCAGAATCGCATGTAAATTGCAATGCGAACTAGGAGGCGGTTGAATCCAGGGGGGGGGGGGGGGGGGTGGGGGGGGGGGGGGGGTGGGTGGGGGGGGTGGGGGGTAGATTTTCTTTCTTTATATCAAGAACTGAACAATACATTTCTCTTCGCATTGAGTTGTCCACTCCATTGCTCGCGTAATCAGCCCGCCCGCCCGCCCGCAAATTGGTTTGCAAAACCCACGCGGCGGCGATTGCGATGAGTGCGTGGCGTTGGCTGGTGCGTCTCTGCGGCAGTGCAGAGCAGCGCGTGCTCGCGCGCGCAGCGACCAGCTAGTTTGGCACTGGCGACGCGGCCGCTGTGGCGCTGACCTCTGGGCAACTCCCAGCGGGCACTTCAGTGCGAGTCGGCGACATGGGCGGGCGCGGTATCATTGCAACATCGACAACGATAGACGCGATGCTGATGGTAGCGATGATGGTGGCGATGATGGCAGCGACGACGGCGAGGCCAGTGACTGGACCGATGCTGATCATGCCGACGACGATGCCGATGTTCTCGCGTCGGTGATGATGGGGGAACGAGGAATGACATAAACATAATATCTCGGAGGTCCGCGCGGATTTCTCGGATCGGCGCCGGGGCCCTTTGGCGGCGCCTCCGGCGTCGCCCCTGGCGCGCTCCGCGCGCCAGGGAAGGGGGTCTAGTGCGGATCCGAGAAATCCGCGCCGATCTTCGAGTTTTTATGTTCATGCCATTTTTCGTTTCCCTAGATGGGGCTTTTTGGAGGAAGTTCGATATGCGTACGCGGCCGACGCGCGAAAGTGGCCCGCGTGGTGTTATTTGACGCGGATCGCGCCCCCCCCCCCCCATCGGACGCGCGCAAGGGCGTTCGAATGATTTCGGCGTGTGGCGCGAGGGGCCCGTTTGGTCGAGTTTAAGGAACGCGTTGAAAACCGATGACTTCTTTTAAAAGTCGCAGGGGCGCGGGCGCAAACATTTTTGACAATTGCTGTTGATGTTGCAAAACCATGTGCCATTGTTTTGTTTTTGGGCCATTTGCTTTTGAGAGCCTTTTTGCCAAGCCCAAGGACTCTTTTGAAGGATTTCCGCCTGCGCGCTCGCGACGACGCGCGCGTGTCGCCCTTTCCTTTGCAAGGGATTCTTGCGACAATGCGCGCAAAGGGCGTTGGGGCGATTCCGACCTGCGCGCGCGAAGGGCCCGCTTGGCAGCAAGTTCTGCTGCGCATGCAACGCGCGGGTGCGAGCGCGTAGAGCTTCCCACGTGAATCTCGTGGCATAGCCGTCTATAAGCAAGTCAGATGTTTAAAACAGGGCCCCGCGCCTCCGGTTTCCCCGGGCGGCCGCCGTGGCGTTGGGCTACGCGTCCGCGATCGAGACGCACCGGCGGCTTGAGGATGCCGCGCTCCTCCGGCTTCCAAGGCCAGTTCGCGATGCGCTCGCGCGCGTTGGGCCCGCTGGCGCCGGGGCGCTCGCGGAAGTTGGCCTCTGGGGCCCGGGTGATATCGAGGAGTTCTACTGCGGCCCGATGGGTGGCGAGTGCATGGAGGCTCTCGCCGAGTTCCGGGCGACGCTCGCCGCGCGTGAGGCGCCGGCGAAGCGCGCCAGGCTGGCGCTTTCGGGGGCCCCACCCGAGGCGGTGTACCGTTCTGCCGTGGAGCGTGACGCGCCGGCATCGCCGGCGTCGCCCCTGCCAGCGGCGCAGCTGGCGCGCCCGGCGTCTCGGCCGCCGCGCTGGCCCACGCGCTTGCGTCGAGATCTCGCCGCGGCGGCGGGTCCGGATAACGTCGCGGACGCGGAGGCGAAGGACCGGCTGAGGTGGCTGGACCAGTTCGTCCAGGTGTTGTGGGCGTCGGACCTCCCAGCGTCTCGCCTCGCTGCCAGCGCGATGGGCCCAGCTGCCTCCCTCATCCGCTGCGCCGGCGGGGGCCGGGCGGGCGCGTTGCGTGTCCGGGTCCGCGCGTGGTAGAAGGTCGAGCGTTGGCTCGCGGCAGCGGGCGTTGGCGGATTCCCGCAGGGCGAGGCCGGCGTGTTTGATTTCCGACCTCGGACTCCGCGCTCAAGAGCCGCCGTGCGCGCGCCCTGTGCCGCGCTCGCTGGTGACGGCGCTCTCTTTGTTTGAGAGTTGCGGCGGCGCGCCGCCGGCCGATCGGGCGGTCGTCCTCCGCGCGGTCAGGGGCGTCGAGATTTCGCTCGACGCGGGGGCGCGCCAAGACGACGGGGCCCGGCAAGCGCATCTCGGTGTTGACCGCGCACGTGGGCCTGGGCGCCTTCCCCGCGCGCCCGCAGTGGTTGGGCGCGGGATTCGCGCGCTCCATGGAGCTCGGTGGTCTGTCTGCAGCGCGGCTACTTGCCCCCGATGCCGACGCCAGACCTTTCGGGCTCCAAGCCTGCGCCAGTGCGCTATGCACACGAGCTGGCGCTCCTGAAGACGATGGCGGCTGGGGGTCCGGCCCCGAGGCGCTCCTCCCCTCGGAGCTCGCCTCCTTCTGCTCTGCGCCAAGCCACTGGGCGGTGCTCCCTTCTTGGGGGGCATGCTTGCACCTCCCGCACGATGTGTTGGACAACCTCGGCCGTGGGGCCTCGACTGGCAGCGGTGAGTACGTCCGCGCCGCCCGGGCACTCGTCGTCGGCGCGCAAGCCAAAGTCGCTGCGGCGATTCGGGATGCCTGCCGCGGCGACGCGCCCGACGCCGAGGACGACCTCCTCGCGGAAGTCCACGCTTTTATGATCGACCGCGATGTCGGCGTCGAGCGCATCGGGCGCGCGCTCGAGGATTTCCGCTACTTCGGGAAGCTCCGCGGGCTGGCCCTGCCAGCGGACGTGCCCGCGCCGCCGACGGAGGTTGCTACTCCAGCGGCCCGCGAGGTCCTGGGCGTGCCCGACGACGGCGATCCGTGCGTGGACTCTGGCGTCGACGGGCTCGGCATGGAAGCGCGGCGCGGAGGAGAGCGATGACGGCTTGGGCACGGACTACGACTATGCCATCTCCATCACTGGCCGCTCGCAGGCGCGTTGCTTGCACATGGCCGATGGTTGTTGCCGGGCCCGCAACTTGACCTTCGTGCAGTACGAGGTCTTCGCAGGCCGTCGACCCCGAGCTGTGCGACAGCGTCTGCAGGGCCTGCTGGAAGTCGTCCGCCCTCCACAGGGCGCCCTCTGGCCCCGAGAGCGGCGGCGAGAGTTCTTCCTCCTCTGCGGCTTCGGCCTGAGGCGCGAGCAGCGCAGGTGGCTGGCGGCTGGGCGGGGGCGGCCGCCAGCGACGCTCGCGTCCGCGGCGTCGCGCGCTCACGCGCGGCTTTCCGAGCAGAGGGAGAAACTGGCGCAAGAGGCCTTGTCGTCCCTGCGGGGCACCGCGTCGGCGTCTTTGGAATTACTTACTCGCGCGCGCGCGCCTTAGGAATCCGACGCGCAAGTGGCTTGGGACCGCCGCCCCGGCCCTTTTCGCCGACCGCGCCGCCTTCATTCTCGGTTCTCGGCAAGGACGTGCACAAGTCGGCGGTGACAGTGGACGGCGTGGAGCACAAGCCGCCTTGGACGCTCGTTCTCGCGCTCGAGTTGGAGGTCCGGAAGGCCGCCGTCGAGCTCGTCGTCGCCGAGTCCCTCGACCTCGCTCTGAGGCGGGTTTACCGCCAGCGGCGCTCCATCGCGCCCTGCGTGGTTTCGGTCGTCGCGGCCGCGTCGGCGCCGGCGCTGGGCGGAATTTCGCAAGGCAACCTCGGAGGCGTCGCCTTGGCGCCTGGCGCCGTGCGCGCCTCCCCCGCCGCCGACAACGCCGATCTCCCGATCGCATGTGAAGAAGCTGCTCGAAGCGGGCAGCCAGGGAGACAAGGGCAAGGGCGCGGGGGAGAGCGGCGGCGAGGCCAAGGGCAAGGGCGGCGGCGGCAAGGGCGGGGGCGGCGGCGGCGGCTCATGGCACAGAGTGACGGCGGACGAGGCCCCGAGGCCGATCTGCTTGCGGTGCAACACCCTTGGAAAGATGTGCAAGAAGGTGCGGAATGGTCCATTGATTGTTGCCAGAAGTGCTTGGGGCCGCGCCCGCAGTGCGAGTGCAGCCAGGGGTGGCCCTGCGCGGCGCGCGAGGGGCCCCCGACCCTCGTGGGCGCCCGCGCTGGGGCGCATGAGAATTCAGATGCGACTGCGCCGGCGCCGCAGTCGAAGCGTCGGCCCGCGGCGACGCAGCCCGCCACCGATGCTGAATGGCGGTCCGCCGCATCGCAGTGCGGCCCTTCGGAAAGGGGGCCCCGACGCCATCGGGCGCGGCGTGGAGGTCGCCGCGGCGGGGGGCGCAGCCAGCGTCGTAACGCTGCCGCCCGCCGCGGCTGTTCCCGCCGAGGTCCCCGTCGCGCCCCCCCCGCCGCCTCCGCCGGCGGCCGCGACGACGGCGTCTTCGATTCGCCGCGCTGCCCCCGAGGCGTCTCGGCGCCCCTGTCGGGCGAAGCTTTCGCGCAGACGCGTTCCCTTGCAGCCCGGTTTCGTGTGCGTCGGCAGGGGCAGCGCGAAGTTTGGTCTGCAGGCCTCCAAGTGGCAGAACCCCTTCGTCACTGGCGCGCAGGGCGACCGCCGGGGCGTGATTCGGAAGTTCTGCGAGTATTTACTCGAGAGCGCCACGCTCCTGGGGCAGCTCCACGAGCTGCGGGGCCAGGCGCTCCTGTGTCACTGCAGGGCCCGCGGATCTCTGCCGCGCCGACGTGCTCATCAGGGCTTACGTGGAGCAGGAGGAGCCCGGCTGCGCCGGCGATGGCCTGACGTCCGACGAGGTCGAGAGCGGCGCCTCTAAGCCCCGCGCGGGGTCAGGCTGGCTCGGCGCGGGGCCGCCCGTCTCGGTGGGCCGCGGCTCTGGGTACAGGGAACTTCAAGACGGCGGCGGTCTGTGCTCGCTGGGCCGTTGGGCGCCGGCTGACCGCGGGCCCCGGGCCGCCGGCAGGCTGTGCCTCGAGGCCCTCGACAGGGTCGTCGGCGAGGTGGAGTCCGAGCGCGGCGAGGGGCATTGTCGCCGCCTCGTCTGCGCGCTTGCTTGCTCGCGGGTCGGGGCCGACCCCTTCGACGGCCTTGGGGCGCGCGTGAAGGCCTCTTTCATGGAGATCCTCGGCCGCGAAAGGGTCTTCAGGCGGGGCGGCGTCGCCGACGGCGCGGCCGCCGGCATCGATTTCGAGTTGATCGGCGCGGTCGGCGCGCGCCTCGAGGATCCGGGCGCGGCTGTCATGGCCAAGTACCGCACGGGTGTTTCTCTTGGATGGCGCGGGCGACTGCCCCGCGCGCCCATTGTCTTCGAGGGGGAGACGCACTGGGCGCCGCGCGTCGTCCGCGAAGGCGAGTCCAGCGCGTGGCATGGGAACTGCGTGTCCGCGACCCAGCGCCCGGACGTCATGGCGGACTTTTTTAAGGAGCAGTAGGAGGCGGGGATGATGGTCAAGACGACGTACGCGCAGGCGAAGGCTGAGTTTGGCGGCCGCCTCCGCGTGGCATCGTTGGGCGCGCTGGGGTAGAAGGAGGGCGAGTTCCGGATCATCCACGATGGCGCGCGCGGAGTCCGCGTCAACGCCTCCATCGGCGTCCGGTGCCAGGAGGCGCCCCCCGCGGCGCGCGATCTCGTCGCAGCGCGGGGGTGCGAGATCGGCCGCCAGGGGCGTGCGCCAGGCGATGAGGCTGGTCGTCGCAGGTGCGCTCTGTTCATGCTCGCCCTGGACATCCCGAAAGCGCGCCGCCGCGTTCCAGTTCGCCGGGGGGGTTGGGTTCTCCAGGCGCGTTCGAACCTTCGTCTTGGGCAGCTCCCCGGACTTCGCGATCCCATGAGGTTGAGCGCCGTCGGGACATACGGGGTCGGTTGCGCCTCCTATTGGTGGGGGCGGCTCGGCGCGCTGCTGCGCAGAATCCTGCTGTGCGTCGTCGGGCCCGCAGGCTTGCTCTGGGCGCTGCGCTTCGCCGACGGTTCCATCTGGCTCACTGGCGGCGCGCTGCGGTCTGGCGGCCGCTCGTCCTCGGCGTTCCCCTCCTCCGTGCTGTCGATGTGCCGATCAAGTGGGCGAAGTTCCGGGGTGGCAGGCGCGCGGGGTGGACCTGGCACATCTTCGACCTCGAGGCCTGCGTGGCCGGCATCAGTGATGGCCGCGGCAGGTGGGCGGCCGAGCGCTGCCGCCGAGTCGCTGGAGAGCGCGACATTCTCGTGGGCGGGTTCCGTGAGGGGCTCGGGCGCCTCGGCTTCGTGGCAGCGCTGCTCTCGTGCACGAAACCATTTTTGGGCCCTCTGTGCGCCTGGGCCGCGGCCGCGCCAGCAGACGCCAGGGTAGGCGTTCCGTCCGTGGTCAAGTGGGTATTGACGTGGCTCGCGGAGGCCTTCGAGGCTGGCGTCCAGGCCCCCTTCGGGCGACCTGCGCGCCCGCCTGGGGGAGAAGTGCCGCGCCGACGCCGAGTCGAGGGCGACCTCGTCGTCGTCGGGGTCGCAGGCCGCGAAGGGCCGGCTGGGGCCTGGTGGTTGCCCCTCCAGCTCGCCCGGCAGGGCATTCCGTGCTTTTCGACCCTCGCGAGGAGAGCGCCGCCTGCGCGCAGATCGCCCTGACTGCGAGCTGGGGCAACCAGAGCAACGGGTTCACGCTGGACCGCTTATGCTCCGCGAAGTTTCCTCTCTACTTGGCTGATGGAGCTCGGCGAGCAGCTCCGCACCAGGCACTCGGCACTCGGTGCTGTCTGTGGTCTGGCGGTCCAGGGGCGAGAACGAGCAGGCCGACGCTCTGACCAATGAGCGCTTCGGTGCTTTCAAGCCAGAGCTGCGCATTCTGGTGCGTTGGAGTGCCTTGCAGTTTCTCGTCCCCCCTCGCCTCGCTGATGCCGCGGCAAGGCGCTTCGAGGCCCACCGCGTCGCCAGCAAGGCCGCGCGGCAGCGACCCCCGCCGAGGCGCGAAGCCCGGGGGTGGCGAGTCTGGCTGCGAGAGCGCGGGCCCCGGTGACCAGGGCGGCGGCGTGGAGGAGGGCCCTGCACACGACCGCCCGCGCCCTTCGGATTGGCTGCTTGTGATCGCGCGTGCGTTTCGTGTGAGGCTCCCCAGAAAAAGAGAAGCATGCAGCAGGTGCGAGTTCACAAAGGGAGTTTTGCTGCGCATGCAGCGTGCCGGTGCGAGCGCGTAGGACTTCCCTGGTGAATATCGTGCCGTGGCCTTTTTTATAAGCAAGTCAGATTTTTCAAGCACCACCCACCCATCCATTACATGGTGGAAACGGTGTGTCAGGCTCAGAGCACGGCCGGCTGCTTGTGACCGCACGTGTGTTTCTTGCGAGTCCCCCCAGAAAAAGGAAATCATGCAGCAGGTGCGAGTTTACAAAGGGGTTTCTGATAATGTTGAAGCAACCCTTGTTTTCTTCAGAATTCGCTCCCAATCCAAAGTACATTTTGTAGTTGATGATGATTTTGTTGTTGTTGATGATGAATGTTACTTACTACACAATCATTGCCCCCAGGCGCCCTGGCGCTCTCGCTTCGGCGCCGGCTATATTTTCATTGAGAATGAGTCTCGCGCTCGAGCGGCTTGGGGGGCGCCAAAACGGGCCCCCCAACAACAACAACGCTCCCGCTCGAGACTTCACCACCGCCCCAACAAAACCAGCGCTACCGCTCGAGACGTCTTCCCGTTTTTCCTTGGACTGGCGCGCTATTCTTTCGCTCATCGGCGCCGCCCCCAGCAAAAACAACGCCCCCGCCCGAGACTTCTTGATTTAACTCAGAGCTGGTGCTCCTTCTCGCCGCCGAAAACCGCCGCCCCAACAAAACCAGCGCTCCCGTCTCAGATTTCCTTCCGCTTTACGCAGGACTGGCGCCCTAGTCTTTTTTGAATGGGCACCGCCCCCAGCAACAGCAACGCTACCGCCCGAGACTTCCTTTTTTATTCCCCCTCGGAGCCAGTGGTCTTGCTCGCCGCCGAAAACCGCCGCCCCAACAAAGCCAACGCTCCCTCTCGAGACTTCGTCCCGTTTTGCCTTGGACTGGCGCTCTACTCTTTCTTTCATCGGCGCCGACCCTGGCAAAAACAACGCTCCCACTTGAGATTTTCTTCTTTTAACTCAGAGCTGGTGTTCTTTCTCGCCGCCGAAAACCGCCGCCCCAACAAAACCAACGCTCCCGTCCCAGATTTCCTCCCGTTTTACGCAGGACTGGCGCCCTAGTCTCTTTTGAATTGGCGCCGACCCCAGCAAAAACAACGCTCCCGCTCGAGGCTTCCTCTCTTTTTCCTGAGGACGGTGTTGTTTCTCGCCGCCGACAGCCCCCGTCCTGACAAAACCGTGTTTAGATTTTTCCCCTCCTTGCTCAAGGCGGTGTTCCTCCTCGCCGCCGGGAGCCGCCGTCCCAAGAGAACCCGCGCTCCCGCTCGAGATTTCGTTTTGTTTAACGCTGGACCAACGCCCAACTTTCTTCTGCATTGGCGCCGCTCCCAGCAGCAATACCACCCCTGCTCGAGACTTCCTCCCTTTCTATTCAGGGCGCTGTTTGTGCCTCGCCGCCGACAGCGCCCATCCCCACCAAATTAATACAGTCGGTCGATATTTCCTTGTGCTTTCCCCTCGGGTGGGGTTCCATTGGCGGCCTCGCATCGGCACAGCAGGGCGCGGGCATGTGTTTTCGAGGCGGGGTATGATGAAATTCCTCGGAGGAGGTGTTTGCAAAACCTCATTGGGCGGGAGATCTGGGAATATGAATAACGGACCCCCGCGATTGTACAATAATCCCCCATGATGGGGATGGTTATCATGATGTTCGCATGCTGTGTGTGGAAGCATCGTGCATGAGGGGGAATTGATTGTTGTTGTTGTTGTTGTTGTTGTTGTTGTTGTTGTTGTTGTTGTTATTGTTCTTGTTTTTGTTCTTGTTGTTGTTGTTGTTGTTGTTGTTGTTGTTGTTGTTGTTGTTGAGTTCTCACTTCTGAAGAAGAATAATTATTGTTGATCCCCCCCCGCCGGTGCATATTGTTTTTCTCAATCAAAGTGTGCCCGTCGACGCTCGCACCCTGTTTTTTGACAGGGCAAGTCTTCCTGCTCAAACTGGGCCCTTGGCCCCCGGGTTACAACAACAACGGCTCCCGCTTGAGACTCCTTTACAATTTAGCCAGGCCGCCCGCTCCCGCCCGAGACTTCCTCGCATTTCATTCAGGAATCGTGCTCTCGCTTAGGACTTCCTTATAATTTATTTAGGAATCGCTCTCCCGACGCTCTGGAGTCGCGCTCTCGCTGGAGACTTGCTTGCAACTTACTGAAGAATGGCCTTGCGTTGGAATTTCTTGCAATTTGCCCAAGCGCCGCGCTCCCGACACCCAGGCACCCAGGAGTCGCGCCCGTTGTGGCCCCATGTGCATGCCCTTCGTGGCCCCGCTGTCGCCATTTGTGTCCCCCTCATTGTCCTACGTGGCCCAGTTGCTACCCTCAGTGGCCCCATCGTTGCCTTCTGTGGCCCCGCATTATCTGCACTTCGTGGCCCCCGCTCGTTCGCGCTCTTCGTGGCCCCATACTCATTCCCTTCGTGTCCCCGCTGTCGCCCTTCGTGGCCTACTTCGTGCCCTTCGTGGCCCTGCTGTCGTTCTCTCTCGCTCTCGCTTTCGCTCGTCGTCGCCGTCGTCGTCGTCGTCGTCGCCGTCGTCTTCGACGTCGTCGTCGTCGTCGTCGTCGTCGTCGTCGTGGTCGGTCCCCTGTCCGTCCCTTTTGGGGTCGGGTCGACGGTCCGCGGCCGCCCCGCCGATCAGCGCTGCCGCTGGCCAGGCCGACGGTCCGCGGCCGCCCCGCCGCTTGCCGGAGCCCGGCCTGCAGGGAAGAAAGGCATACCCCCCAAAAGGGGTTCGATCGAAGACGAAGAGGGCGGGTATCGAGGGTTTTGGAAATACGCGTTATTGGACACTCGAGCATATAAGGGCGAACAGTCTTAAAATTATTATTGTTGTTGTTGTTGTTGCTGCTGTTGTTGTTGTTGTTGTTGCTGTTGTTGTTGTTGTTGTTGTTGTTGTTGTTGTTGTTGTTGTTGTTGTTGTTGTTGTTGTTGAACATTATTTATTCTGAAGAATAATTATTGTTGTTCCCCCCCACCGGTGCACATCGTTTTTTTCAATTGCAGTGCCACCCCCGGGGCTCGCACCTTGTTTTTTCTTAAGGAAAATCTTCCTGCTCAAACTGTGCCCCTGCCCCCCGGGCTACAACAACAACGGCTCCCGCCGGAGACTTCCTCGATTTTTACTCAGGATCCCCGCTCCCGCCTGAGACTTCCGCGCAATTTACTCAGGAAAGGCGCTCCCGTCTGAGACTTCCTCGCAATGTAATCAAGACCCCCGCTCCCGCCTGAGACTTCCTTGCAATTTACGTGGGAACGGCGCTCCCGCGTGAGACTTCTTCGAATTTTACTCGGGACCCCCGCTCCTGCCTGACATTTCCGCGCAATTGACTCAGGAACGGCGCTCCCGCCTGAGACTTCCTCGCAATTTAGTGAGGACCCCCGCTCCCGCCTGAGACTTCCGTGCAATTTGCTCAGGAACGGCGCTCCCGCTTGAGACTTCCTCGCAACTTTGTCAGGGCCCCCGCTTCCGCTTGAGATTTCCTCACAATGTACTCAGGACTGCGCTCTCGCGTGCGACGTCCTCACAAATTATTCTGGAATTGCGTTTCGGCGCTCAGGAACCACGCGCGCGCCAAGGACGCCTTCACAACGTGGTATCTTCACTCTTCCTTCGTCCTTCCCCCTCCCCTTCCTCCCACTCTCCCTCGTTCTTCCCCTCCTCCTCTTGCAGGGCCCGCGCCAATTCCAATGGCGGGCAGAGAGATGTACGCCCCGAAGGATTGTCCGCCCGTTCCGGTTTGCCCGTACGTCTAAGCCCGCCGGCCCCAGCAAAGAGAAATAATCCCACCGAAAGGGGTGTGATCGAAGACGAAGAGGGCGGGCTTCGAGGGTGTAGGGTATACGTGTTGAATGACTCGCGGGCAAGTAAGAGCGCACAGCCTTAAAATGGTTGTTGTTGTGTTGTTTGTTTTTGTTGTTGTTGTTGTTGTTGTTTGGAGGGGGGGTTGGGGGCCCTGGGGCCAGGGGGACGATCCGCTGCCACCCTGGAGGAGGAGTCTGGAGGAAAAATCCGTATGTCCCTTGTCACTGTTGTTGTTGGTGTTGTTGTTGAACATTATTAATTCTAAAGAATAATTATTGTTGGGGCCCCTGGTGCACGGCCCCCCCGCCGCGCCTAGGCCGCAGCTACATTTTCTTCATTTTTTCGCGAAAGCTTCAGAAAAGTGGATGGGGTCCAGATCCGGTTGTTTTGTTGTAATCCGTTTTCCCTTGCAAAAAACACTATAAAATGACATTTCTTGTTCTAATATAATCAAATTTCATGAATCCCTTGCAAAAAATAAGGTAAAGTGGACATTCGCGCGCGCAAGACGAAATCCTTCCAAAAGCTTAGTGTTCGGAGCGATTTCAACATAAAAACATAAAAAAACAATGTTTTTTCAACAAAAAAATTGTCAAAATCTCATCCCGCGCGCTCTTGCGGATTCGTAGGAAACCAACACTTTTTAAACATTTCTGTCAAACGGGCTTTTGCGAGCAACTTTTTCGAACTTCTGCGACAACGGTTGCGCACCTGCCAGGGCCATCATCCCTGTCAAATAATACCATGCGGGACACATTCGTTTTTTCTTCGCGCGCGCACGCCGAAATCTCCAAAAATCATTGGGTTCTTAAGAATTCTAGCACCGCGCAAATGTGTATCTTGTATACCATATGCATCATATGCACAGATGTTCTGTGGATGGCTTACAACTTTATGTGGGTTTAACAAGGCTTACAACTTGGTGGGTGTACGATACGTAGGTTAACAAACTTCTGTTGGTGTGTACTCACGCAGTGTAGTAGCCACGGTCGTCCGCATGCCACGAAGTGAAGTGTCCGAACGTCATAGGGCGGGAAGCTGGGTGTGGGTGGTGGCGAAGAGTCGTGTGGTAATTTGGTAGAGCTTGAACCGGCCCCCCCACAAAGTGGGGGTATTGCCCGCCTCCTATGAAAACCCTGGCGCTGGTGAGAACGGAGTGTCCCCACGTGCTAGTAATTGTTGTTGTTGTTGTTGTTGTTGTTGTTGTTGAACATTATTACTTCTAAAGAATAATTATTGTTGGGGCCCCTGGTGCACGATCCCCCCCGCCGCGCCTAGGGCCGCAGCCGCGTTTTCATCATTTTCGTGAGGAAGTCTCAGGCAAAACGGGTTGGTCCGGATCCGGTTGTGTTGTTACGATCGGTTTTCCCTTGCAAAAAATAAGTTAAAGTGGACATTTCTTGTTCTAACATATCCAAACTTCAAGAATCCCTTGCAACAAATAAGGTAAAGTGGACATTCGCGCGCGCAAGACGAAATCCTTCCAAAAGCTTAGTGTTCGGAGCGATTTTAACATAAAAACATCAAAAAACCAATGTTTTTTTCAACAAAAAAATGTCAAAATCTCATCCCGCGCGCTCTTGCGGATTCGTAGGAAAACCAACACTTTTTAAACATTTCTGTCCAACGGGCTTTTGCGAGCAACTTTTTCGAACTTCTGCGACAACGGTTGCGCACCTGCCAGGGCCATCATCCCTGTCAAATAATACCATGCGGGACACATTCGTTTTTTTTCGCGCGCGCACGCCGTCGTCGTCGGCCGCGGGGCCCTGAATAGTAGCCACGGTCGTCCGCATGCCACGAAGTGAAGTGTCCAAACGTCATAGGGCGGGAAGCTGGGTGTGGGTGGTGGCGAAGAGTCGTTTGGAAATTTGGTAGAGCTTGAACCGGCCCCCCACAAAGTGGGGGTATTGCCCGCCTCCTATGAAAACCCTGGCACTGGTGAGAACGGAGTGTCCCCACGTGCTAGTAAATGATGTTGTTGTTGTTGTTGTTGTTGTTGTTGTTGTTGTTGTTGTTGTTGTTGTCGTCGTGTTTGTTGTTCTTCTGCTGTGTTTTGTGATGACTGTTTACTAATGTTTGTTTGTTTGTTTGTTTGTTCGTGAGGAGGCCCAGGCGAAACATGACCCCCCCAAGTGTAATTCGAACAGAAACAAAGCCGAAATCCAGCTGACCCCACCCGTGCTCTCGCACATCTTTGCGCGTGGCTTTTTTTTTCTTGCGGCTGGCTTTTTAAAATGTGCGGTTAGCGTGTGGCTATGGCGCGGCCGTCTCTCGCGCGTGCTTGTGTCAGGCTGGCGCAGCCAGCGATGGCGTGTAATGTTTCGCATCCACACACATACATTTTCATGCACGTGAATTTCATTACCGACGTGTTCTTTCCGTTGAGGGCGCCGTTTTGGTTACGTTCTCAGGTCCTGGATCGGCCCGTGTCCCACCTGTTCGTTCTCTTTCAGCTTCCAATCGGTATTCATTACGTTTTCGAGTACCGCAATGCCGCCCTGCCTGACGTCCGCAGTCCAGGGTGCCGTTCTTAGAGCGCCTTGGCCGACCCCCGAGCGAACAGTGGACAACGACGGATACAAACGCCCCCAGCGCTTTGCAGAGCAAGAAGGACCCTCGTTGCCCCAGAGGCGCGACCGGATGGTGCCTTCCGCCTCGCCGGCGGCTGCGGCGCCGCGCGCCTGCGCGCGGCGGCGGGCGGCAGCGTCGACGTGCTCGTCGTGGACGCGGCGGCGGAGGGCCTCGGCGGGCTGCACGCGCCGCCCCCGCCGTTCCGGACGCGCGGCTTCTGGAGGGCCGCGGCGCGCGCCGCGGCGCCGGGGGCGGTGATCGCGCTGAACCTGGTGGGCGGGCGCGAGGACCCCTGATGGGCTCGTTTTCCACCACCAGCAGCTGGAGGGGGAGGGGGGTGGAGGAGGGGGAGGAGGAGGAGGGGGAGGATGATCCCCTCTCCCTCCTACTTCTGGTGGTGGCGGTGGTGGAACACGGGCCCACGAACTCCTGGGGGGGGGGGGGCGCCGAGGGTTCGAGGTCTGCGGGCGTCTGCGCGGATTCTCGGCGGTTTCCGGCCACCCCTGGGCGGGGAGAGGGGTGGCAGCAGGCTTGGATCCCCGAGCTTGTCGGGCGGCTTCGTCAGTTCTCGTCCCTTCTCCAGCCCGGGACGGGATGCTTTCCAGCGGTGCGCCTCGCCGACAGCGCTCCTGGGGTGCCTGGATCGTCCCGAACGACTGCCAGAGGGTCGCCCTGCTCCGAAGCTGAGCGACACAAGGAGACGGGGTCGACTGCGCGGACACTCGCGCGTAAGCTTCCCGCGTGAGGTCGCGCGTAGGCGCCCTCTTCTCCACGCGGTGTGCCACGCTGGCTGCCCGCAAGAGCCGCAGAGTAATGTCGCGCTGCGTGTATTTTCAGCGCTCATCTTTACACCGGCACCGATCCCGGCCAGGCCTGCCCTGCACCCAGGATCCGCGCCACGCGCCCGCTTGGCCTATGCAGGAGGGCGCGTGCGTCTCGGCGCGGGGTTCCCCCGCCGTGAGCGCGCGTCGTGGTTTCAAGCAGCAAGTGGAATTACTCCGTACTTCACACAAGAAGGGTGGTGGTCCGATTTGTGGGGGGTCTGATTTGAGCTGTCTTGGAGGGTTCCAGTGGGGTCTGTGCCAAAGGCCGTGCTGTCATGGCTCTGGGGGGGTGTAAAACTGCTGGTCTGGGAGGGCAGCGACCCCCTCCCTGTCATTACGAAATTTGGAGTAACCAGGGCTCCAGGCTTATCAGTACCTGGCGCCCGCCGGTTGCTACACCAAAAGCGCGACTCTCCATCTACACGAGCCCAGCAGTGGCAAACATTGTTTCTTGGTGTCTGGTCTGGCCTGCGCTCGCGCCAGAGGAGGTCGAGGCGCTGCAGGAACTGGTCTCCCAGGAGCTGCGCGGCTGGAGCCTGCTCTGCCTGCCGCCGCCGCCGGGGGGCCTGGCGGACGCGCTGCACCTGGAGCAGCGGCTGCTCTTCGCCGCGGCGGGGCCGCTGGCCGATGCGGACCTCGGGCGCGAAACCAATCTAGAAGGAAGGAAGGAGGGAAGAGGGTGGAAGAGGAGGAGGAGGAGGCGGAGGAGGAGGAGGAGGAGGCGGAGGCGGAGGGGAGGCGGAGAAGGGCGGAGGAGGTGGAGGAGGAGGAGGAGGCGGAGGAGGAGGAGGAGGAGGAGGAGGAGGAAGTAGGGAAAGGAGGAGGTGAGGAGGAGGAGGAGGTGAGGAGGAGAGGAGGGAAGAGGAGGAGGGGAGTAGGAGTAGGAGAGGAGGCGAGGAGGATGGAGGAGAGGAGGAGGAGGAGGAGGGAGGAGGAGGAGGAGGAGCGAAGGAGGAGGAGCAGGAGGAGGAGGAGGAGGAGGAGGAGGAGGAGGAGGAGGAGGAGGAGGTAGCCTTATCCACGGCTTTGCGGGCTGGGCTCATGGGCGGCGACCCCGCGGATACGGGGCGCCTTTTCGCGGATGCCCGCGCGGAACCTTTCCGTGCGGCCGCGTACCCGCGGGACCGCACCTCAGAATCCAGACCGCGAGGGCGTGAATATGGATACGTTCGCCGCTTGTGAGGACCAGTTGGCGCGCGCTGGGCTGTCGGGCACCGCGTGCGCCCTGGTGGACGAGCCTGGGGCGTGGCTGGAGCACTGGCGGAGGCACTCCGAGCGGTGAGGCGAGAGACGGAAGCGGCTCGCGCGGGTCGGACGCGACGCTCTCGCCGTGAGGATGCCAACCGTCGTGGCCTTCGTCGCTCTCCGGCGTGGTGCAGCGCACCCAGCCCAACCATTGGTTCGACCGCAACAAGATTGACCGCACGATGTGCCCCTGCATGACCTGCTGCGGGTGCATGCGGTGGCAGGAGCTTGTGCCCAGCGCGTCGCAGCGGCACCTCCAGACGACGCGGCCGTGACCGAGCACTGCCCGAAGCGCGACGCGGCGACCGACGAGGGCGCAGGCGCGCTCTACTACAGTCGAAGCTGATTGGTAGGTCGACACTGTCAGGTCAAGGGTGCCCTTGTGTTGTCTTTTACAGTCCTATGGCAATGTGAGCGGCGCAAAAACGAGTTCGACTGCGCCGACAATCGCGCATGAGCTTTCCGCGTCATGTCGCGCGTAAGCGCTCTCGTTTCCAATGTGGCGTGCCATGCCGGCGGCCTGGGTAAGCCACCGCTATGTCATCTCTCGTAAGACCCGTTTTCATTCGTCGCCCATGTGGCTATCGGAAGGGTCTTCGGCCACGCACAGAGGGGGGCAAGGGGGGGGGGGAAAGGCTTCTCAGAAGGAGGCTGCTTCCTAGAAGGCGCGGGCTTTTTTTTGTAGACATACGGCCAGCGCCTTCTCCAAGGAGCAGCCTCCTTCTAAGAAGCCTTCCCCCCTCCCCCGACCCCCCCTCCGCTCGCACCCCCAAGAAGGGGACGTCGGGGGGGGTCCTGATGTGATAGTAAAACCACGGCGCCGTCGTTGCCGCCGTCCAGCCGTCCAGCCACAGTGTCCAGCCGTCCGGGCCGTCCGCCGCCGGTCGTTCTCCGTCGTCGTCGTCGTTCGAGCAGGGGGTCGACTACAGAGTTGATTCGCCCCGAATCTTCCCTTTCGCGTGCGCGCCGCCCAGATCTCGTGCCCTCTTGCGTGCGCGCCGCCCAGGCCTCGTGTCCTCTCGCGTGTCCTCTTGAAGCAGTCTCGGCTGTGCCCTGGAGGGCTGCGGAGAGGGGGGCTGCGCGGAGGCGGCGGCGGCCGCGGCGCGACGAGCGGCGCGCGGACAGCAGGCCCAGCCGCGCGCGGAGGGCTGGGCCTCGGGAGCTCACTCCGCGGGGGGGGGCGGCTCGGCGGGAGCGCACGTGCCGCTGCCCTTCGCCCATGCTCCCCCCCTCTCGCGCCCTCCTGGGAGGCCCGCAGACGGGAGGAGGAGGAGGAGGAGGAGGAGGAGGAGGAGGAGGAGGAGGAGGAGGAGGAGGAGGAGGGGAGGAGGAGGGGAGAGGAGGGGGAGGAGGAGGGGGAGGAGGAGGAGGAGGAGGAGGAAGGAGGGGAGGAGGAGGAGGAGGAGGAGGAGGAGGTGGAGGAGGAGGAGGAAAGGAGGAGAACGAGGAGGAGGGAGGAGGCGGAAGGAGGGAGAGGAGGAGGAGGAGGAGGAAGGAGGAGCATGACCCCCAGGACTGATTGCTCAGGGCCGTCCCTGAGAGCTGGTGGTGGGCGCCACACCAGCGACCCAGCAGGCGGGAGTGAGGAGGAGGAAGGAGGAGGAGGAGGGGGAGGAGGAGGGGGAGGAGGAGGAGCGGGGAGGAGGAGGAGGAGAGGAGGAGGAGGAGGAGAGGAGGAAGGTGGGGAAGAGGAGGAGGAGGGGAGGAGGCGGAGGAGGAGGAAGAGGGGGAGGCCCTCGTCGGCCCTCGACTGGATGCGCCTGGACAGCCGGGTCCGCGCGACCCCCCGGGGGGGAGGCCCGGGGAGCAGCGGCATCGCATCGGTATACCTCTCGGCCTCCCCGAGGGGCGCGTGGCGGGGCGAGGCGGGCCGAGCGCGCGCCGAGAGGCCGTCTCGCCCCCCCCCTCGGCGTTCCCTCGGCGTTCCCGTCTCCCTCGTGCCTCTCCCCGCCACCTCTCCTCCTCGTCCCCCCCCCGCTGCGCTCCTCTGGCCCCCCCCCTCTCTCCCGTCTGCGCCTCTTTTTTTGCCTCTGTTTCTCTGTCTCTCTCTCTCTCTCTGTCTCTGTCTCCGTCTCTCTTTCTCGCTCCTCCGACGCCCTGGGCCTCGGTCTCCGTCTCCGTTCTGCCCCTTTTCTGGTCCTCCTCCCTTTTTGCCCTTCGGTCCTTCTGCCCCTTCCCCTTTCCCCCTGTGCTTCCCCCCCCACTCTTCCCGTTCTAGGATGAGGAGGATGAGGACGATAGCGGAGGAGTGCAAAGGATGACAGAGGAGGACAGGAGGATGAGGAGGACGGAGGAGGAGGACGGAGGAGGAGGAAGAGGAGGAGGAGGAGGAGGAGGAGGAGGAGGAGGAGGAGTAGAATGTTGCTTCTGCAGCTGTGACCGCACTTGCTGTTGACGCCGCCGCTGCCGTGGCCGCGACCGCTGCCGCTGCCGCTGCCGTTGCCGCTGCATGAATGGAGGATGAGGATGAGGAGGAGGATGAGAAGGAGGAGGATGATGAGGAGGAGGAGGAGCAGGAGAAGCAGTACCATGACTTAGAGGGCTGGATGGCGATGGTGATGATGATGGTGATGATGGTGATGGTTATGATGGCTGTTGTGATGATGACGATGATGATGGCGATGATGGTGATGCTGGCGTCGACGACGATGATGTCGTTGATGGTGATGATGGTGATGACGACGATGATGATCCTTGCTGCCCCTCCTGCCAGTCATTTTTTTGGGGGACGTCGCCCCGTGCAACATCAGCGCAGGCTGCTCTCAGATGTCGACCGCCATAGCTGCAATAGCGTGCTCCGGAAAGGCTTCGCCGGAGCACGCTGGGAAGGCGCCGTCCAGTCCAGAGCATAGCGATCAGCTAGACTCGGACTGCCCCTGCATAGCCTGGCGGCTAGACCTGGGCAAGGACCTTCTGACGATGTCATTGGTCCGACGGAGGGCTAGTGGGCTCTTGAAGTCGCAATGTAACTACAAAAGCACACTAGACACCCCCAGGCTGATAGTTGGTCAGGCTATCAACCCAAAAACCTCCCGGGTGGGAGGGCGAGGCGAAAGGCAGGAAGGGGCGGGGGGGCATTCGCCGCCGGCTCACGAGCCAAACGGCGAGCAAGAGACGATGGCAATCGAGACCCAAGGATTAGTTCGCTAGGTCCCAATCCAACTAGGCCATACCCTTGCAATCTAAATGATGCTGATGATGACGATGATGATGATGATGATGATGATGATGATGATGATGATGATGATGAGGGTGAGGGTAAGGGTGATGGTAATTATGAGTATGATGATGGTACTGATGACGATGATGAGGATGTCGAGGATGCGGATGACTATGACTGCGGTGATGATGATTATGATAATGATGGCGATGATGACACTAATAATGATATTGGTGCCGGTGCTTGCGATGGTGACGGGTTGTGCGATACCGACGTGTTATGATGACGATGTTGCTGTGTATTGTGATGATGGTGGTGTTGGTGATGATGATTGTGGCGACACTACTGATACGGATGCACGGACGCTCACGATGATGATGCTGATGATGATGCTGATTATGATATCACTGATGATGATGCTGATGGTGATGCTGATCTTGTTGATGATGATAGTGACGACGATGATGATGGAATATGTTGTATGATGATAATACTGTTGCTGCTGCTGATGCTGAGGCTGCTGATGCTGATGCTGATATTCACGTTGCTGTTGTTGGTGTTGATTACGATGATGCTGGTGATTATGACGATGCTGATAACGATGACGGTCATCATGATGCTACTGGTGATACGGCTGATATTGGCGATGTTGTTGTTGATGTTGATGATGTTGATTACGGCGGTACTTGTGATGGTGATGCTGATCATGATGAGGATGCTGAGGCCCCGGATGGCGGTGATAATGCTGATGGCGCTGCTGATGATGGTGACGTTGGTGGTGATAAAGATATATGAATGATGCGGCTGATGCTGATGCTGCTGCAGTTGATGCTACTGGGGGTCATGATGCTGATGATGATGATTATGATGATGATGAGGACGAGGCGGAGAATGAGGACGTGGACGAGGACGCGGATAAGGAGGAGGAGGCGGTTGTTGCTGATGCTTATGACGATGCTGATCGCGATGATGATGGTGGTGATGCTGATGAGGAGGAGGAGGATGAAGAAGAGGCGGCTGTCGGTGATGCGGATGAAGATGATGGTGATGATGATGATGCTAATGATGATGATGAGGACGAGGCTGAGGATGAGGATGATGCTGATGATGTTGTTGATGATGCTGATGATGATGATGCTGATGATATGCTGATGCGGCTGCTGGGACTGTTGCTGTTGCGGCTGCTGTTGCTGATGACGCTGATGATGATGCCGCTGATGATGATAATGCTGTTGATTCTGACGATGTTACTAATACTGATGCTAATGATTGATGCTGATGATGATGGAGATGCTGATGCTGATGCTGATGCTGCTGATGATGATGATGATGCTGATGCTGATGCTGATGCTGATGATGATGATGATGATGATGATGATGATGATGATGTGGATGCTGTCGCTGATAGTGATGATGATGCTGATGATGCTTATGATGGTGATGCTGATGGTGATGATGAGGGTGATGATGGTGATGATGGTCATGGTGATGATGCTGATAGCATTCCGATTATGGGGATGATGATGATGATGATGATGATGATGATGATGATGCTGCTGATGTGGTTGTTGTTGTTGGAACTGGTGATGATGCTGCTGATGCTGATGATGGTGACGACGGCGATGACGATGACGATGACGATGACGATGATGATGAGGAGGAGGATGATGACGATGATGATGTTGATGATGAGGATGCTGCTGCTGATGGCAGTGGTGGTGGTGATGTTTCTGCTTATCATGATGGAGACGACGATGATGTTGTTTATGATGCTGGTGGTGGTGCTGCTGCTTCTGATGATGCTTCTGGTGATGAGGATGAGGATGAGGATGAGGATGAGGACGATGCTGATGCAGATGCTGCTGCTGATGATAATG